TTGAGTACCTTCAGGGTGAATCATGGGGTGGAATGGTGGGTCCTGTGGGCATTTATCAGCAGCTGACTGAAACAGCTGTGCCCTGAGCATCTCTGCCCCCAAACTGTAACCTATTAACTTCCTTAATAAACCCCCTAAGAGAGGCTTGGAAGAGGAACAGTTGGAGCTTCACATTTTTTGCATCCCCTAATGCAATCATTTAAAGCTATGCATATATATATATGTATATATATATAAAATCGGGCTGCTAATCTCATGGTCAGCAGTTGGAAACTACCAGCTGTTCTGTGGGAGAAAGATGAGGCGTTCTGCTCCCGTAAAGATTTACAGCCTAGGAAACCCTGTAGAGGATCGCTGTGAGTTGGAACCAACTCCATGGCACATATGTAAAATAATTAGGAAGCATTATGGAAAAGTAAATGTGATGGAATTAGGGGTGAGTTTGCCCAAATTTAGCAATATAAACAACATGGTTAACATTGTGTGGATTTGTAACATTATGTTGTATGTGTAACATTGTATGGATTTATTTTATAAATACATACTATGTTATTGCTTTAAATTATGTAATCTGTACATTCCTTAACTTTCCAAATAGAGTATATAAGGGGTTATCATTTCAATTTCATTTATGGCATCAAGCCAACTGTGAATCCTTCATATGTATTTGTTTGAATGCATGATTAAATAAATGATTAAGCCAGTGAATAAGTGGGTAAGTACAAAATATATATATATATATTGACAGAAAGATCAAAGAAAGCAAGGAGAACACAGAAAAAACTTAGAAGAATTCAAGAAAACACTTTAAGAACAAATAAACAAAATAAATGCAAATTTTGAAACAATACAAAATCTGCAATTAGAAATTCAGAAGATTAATACTAAGATTTCAGAAATGGACAATTCATTGCAAGGGGAAAGAAAGGAGCAGATCTGAAGCAATGGAAACCCAAATTACTGAGCTTGAAGATAAATCTCTCAATACTAGTATACTATACGAACAATTAGAAAAAAGAACGAGAAACAGCCAAAGAAATCTTAAGAGTTATGTGGAACACCATGAAGAGGAACAATTTATGGTTGATCAGAATATTCCAGAATAGGAAGAGACAATAAAAAGCACAGAGAAACTGTCAGAGTTGTTGAAAGAAACCTTCATTTGTCATGTGCCTGGATTCAGCTCCGATTCACAGGAACCCTGCAGAGAGCTCCCAAGGCGTGGTGGTCGAGTGTTTATCCTACAGGGCCACACCAGAACTCCAACTTCACTAGCATCATGAAAACCAAGAAGATAAGCATACAAAAAGCTGAATGAACCCCAAAAGAAAATTACCAAGACATATCATAATCAAATTTTCCATAACCAAAGACAAGGAAAGAATCCTGAGAGCAGCTCAGGAAAAATGAAAAGTTACCTATAAAGTAGAACCAATAAGACTAAGCTCTGATTTCTCAGCTGAAACCATGCAGACAAGAAGGCAATGGGATGACATATGCAAAACTCTAAAAGAAAAAAATTGCCAACCAAGAATCATTTACCCAGTATATGTCTCTCAAACACAGCAGCGAAATCAGGGCATTTCCTGATAAAAAGAAATTAAAGGAATTTTTAATGACCAGATCAACTTTACAAAAAATGTTACAGGGTGTTCTTTGGACTGAGAACCAACAACAGCAGACAACAAGCTGAGATTACCATACATGACAACACCAACCAGAACTCAAGCCAGATATAGAAGTGTTTAAAGTAAAACAAATCTACAAGACTGTAAAATAAGGAACTAGAGAATTCAATTTATAATGAAGTCAACTACAAAGCAAAAAGAAGGAATAATATAAATAAATACAAAAATTCCAAACCGTAAGCAAGTCAAGCAGATTTCAAGATTTTAAGCATGGAAAAAAATTAGTAAATTATAGGATAAACTCAAAAAAAATGTATACACCTGCACATAAAGATTAAAAAAAAAAAAAAAAAGAGGAAAATCATAAAGTAAAACATTAACACGGTAGAAATGAAAACGAAAAGAAAACCCACAAACAAAATGAACTCAGTACAGAAAATTATTTGGAACTAAGAAAATATCAGCACCACACACACACACACACACAAAAAAAAACCACACAGAAAAATGACAGCAATGAATTCATTGTTGTTGTTGTTGTTAAGTGCCGTCGAGTCGGTTCCGACCCATAGCGACCCTGTACAGGGTTTCCGAGGGTGTAAATCCTTACGGGAGTAGAAAGCCTCATCTTTCTCCCGCGGAGCGGCTGGTAGTTTCGAACCGCTGACCTTAAGGTTCACAGCCCAATTCGTAACCACTACGCTGAATTCATACCTACTGATAATTACACTGAATATAAATGGATTAAATACACCAGTCTTGACACATAGAGAACAGAATGGATAAGAAAACTTGATTCTTCAATATGCTGTCTACAAGAGACACATCAGAAAGATGGAGACAGCTTAAATGCCTGGATAGAAAAAAGGTTAAATAAACTTTGGTACATACACACAATGGAATACTATGCAACACTGAATAATAATAATGAATCTCTGAACACTTCACAACATGGATGAACCAGGGGGAGGTTATGCTGAATGAAATAAGTCTATCACAAAAGGAAAAATACTGTTATGAGACCAATGTTGTAAAAAGTTAAAAAAAAAAAAAGTTTTCTTGATAAAAAGAAACAATCTATGATGGTTTCAGGGAGGGGGGAGGGAAAATGATTCACACGTTAACATGGGTGACAGGGCAGGCAATATACAATTATAGGAAGGTTAGTAGAGGAAAGATGAAGGTACAGGGAAGAATGCAACAGTTAAAGTGAATACAGTTATCCATACTGTTATGAAGCAAAGTATATGATTTTTTTAAATATAAAACTGATGGATCTGCTCTGTAAGCCTCCACTCAATTCACAATAAAAAGTTAAACTAAAAAAAGACAGAAAAATGACAGCAGTCAGTTCATACCTATTGATAATTCATGTAAATGGATTAAATACACTCGTCTAAGAGGCATAGAGAGCCGAATGGATAAGAAAACAAGACCCTTCAATACGCTGTCTACAAGAGATATCTCATAAAGATGGAGACAGTATGGTTTACTGAAATGTAAAACTGATGATCTGCTTTGTAAACCTTCACTCAATTCACATTAAAAAGTTTAAATTAAAAAAAAAATTAAGATGGCCTAAATGGCCATCAATAGAAAAAATGGTTAAGCAAACTTTGGTACATAGATACAATGGAATACTATATAAATTGAAGAATAACGAATCTGTAAAATACCTCACAACATAGATGTATCTGGAGGACATTATACTGAGTGAAATTAGTCGATCACAAAAGGACAAATATTGAGACCAATGTTGTGAAAAGAAACGTTTTCTTCATAAAAGAAACCATCTATGATGGTTATGGGAAGGAGGAAAAATTATTCATGGGCTAGAGGGTAGATACAGTGTAGACACAGGACAGGCAATATACAACAAGATGGAAGTTAGCAGAGGAAAGATGAAGGTAGCAGCGGGAGACACAAGGAGGCATTCAAGAGTTAAAGTGAATGAAGATAGTGTTAACTGATGGTACATGGGGGGGATTGCAACCATTGAAATGAAGCAAAGCATATGATTTGTTGAATGTAAAA